GGACTGACGTATGGACGGGATGACCAGCACCACCTGCTGGTCAAACGGGGAAGGGGCACGGAAGGACCACAGCGGGAGGCCGACCCTGACAGACAGGGTGAACCTGCAGCTCCCTTTCTATTTCTTCTTGTTATGCAAACGATGGTCTTGCATATATGTTAAGGTGTGCGCCAGCCAAGTTAACATTTATCATAGGTGTTTAATAGTTCAGTGTTGCTGGAACGCAAACTTTACTGACCTCGCGAAATTTCTCATAAAGACCGTAATGTCGGTTTTTAAGATGCTTCGCCGGGTTTGACGTGCTACTTGACTTCGCCACAACTTTGTAGCGCTGTTTGCATAGAGGTTTATCGACATCCTTAGCCTTTCCATGCTCGTCTGCGAAATACTTCCAAACAGCACTTTTGAGTTTTTTTTTATCACTAAAGCAGCCTGTGAAGTGCCTTCAACTGCAGCATATGCTATGTTCGGCCAATTCGGTATGTGTGTGTTATCCAGTGCGAGCGCGTTCAGCGGCTATTTATAGGAAGGGAAGTTGCTGCGCAAGTGTGTGTGTGTGCACGCGCGCCTGCGCTGTGGTGGTGCTGTGTGAAGTGTGGCGAATGAGGCGAAAACCGCACTGTTGGTATCGATAATGGTGAAAATGAGTATCTAATTAGATACTGATTTTTTTATATCGATTAGTATTTGAGAATCGATTTTTTGACAACCCCAGTGTCTCATTATTATCAACTCCAGCGTCACATATAGCTTCTGTTTCTGATCTTTCGCGGTACATTTTTAGCGGCGCAGCAGTGAAAAAGCCCCCCTTAAACAGTTTCCGAATGTTGTGTAGGCTATTTAAACCGGTATTGCGGTATTTGAGAAATTAATATCATAACAATAATAAACGGTTTTCGGTATGGACCGGTGTACCGCCCGACACTAGCTGACAGGTTCAGACATTTANTACCGCCCGACACTAGCTGACAGGTTCAGACATTTACCCTGCTAGATATTTGGCGGGTGTCTGCCACTCCCTCAGGTCATGTATTGAAACAGTTCACATACAGCAATCGAGCGCTGATTTGCCATCGCCAATCAAACTCCAGTTTGCCTCCGATCTGGGAGTTTTGAACGGTCATATGGTCAAGTGTGCATATTGAGGTTCACCCTATATAGATTGCTGATAGTCAGCGTGAGGATACCTTATACCTTGGGTTGCATTTGGTTTAGTGAAGCTGGAACTTATCTTTAAAGCCTTTAAATCACACATGTGCATTAACACTCCAAACACTAAAACACTACAACCTTAAAACCCCACACACTGTGTTACATTCGGCCCCCTTTTCCGTACTTTTCCTGCCCTCCTTACTCCAACATTCCAGGCTGAGATTCATCGCTTCATACCCTCTGTACATATACAGTGATAATAAATGTAAGGACCCCTCCCCGCGTGCTCCAGGGAAAGCAGAGACTCAGTCAGAGCTACACAGTTGCGGCTGTTCCTACATTAACAGCCAATCTCTCACTACCTACCCATTTACCTCCTGCTAACAAAGTATCTTAATCTGCCACCAAGACCTAAATGTCCGCCACAGGCACATCATGCGATTCCCCCCATTGTTGTATGGATTTAAACAAGTTTAAATACAAGCTGAAATGTGATCGTTATGTGTATGTTTGGGAGAGAATCACTTCATTATCCATAATGGGCCACCAAGATGCCGCAGGTTTACCGTAACACAAAAAGAGCTTCTGGCTTCTAGGACCAGACCTGTTAGATCCACATGAAATGGTTTTCAACATTCAGGCAATTTCTGCTCTTTGTCACTTTGTCACTTAGGACGCTGATGAGTTGCATTTTAAAGACAGACCGTGTCCTGCACGACGATGATGATGATATCCGTGGTGGTCATACTGGTCTTCTGCTCCTTCCATCTGGCTTCACAAGGTATAGTGGTGCAATCAAACACCATCAGGTCACATGACATGAACACAGCAAACAGAACAGAAAGCACTAATACAATTTCAAACAGGAATTATGTTGGAAAATAGTTTCCCATAAAATTTTCTGCATTTGTAAAGTATTTTGAAAGTTATCTGTGAATCTGCACTAGTTGAAATTAAATTTGGTTGCATTAGTCTATTAGGTTACAATTTGTTGATGACGATTTCCTCGAAGGCCTTACCTGGCTACACTAAGGCAGATGATGAGCCTATTCATTCAGTTCACCCCAGTCTACTCATATGAATGTCAGTCCCAGATCCCACAGTCACACCAGTACCCTAATACACCCTGTTCCATGTTGTAGCCCTATTCAAGGCCTGACATTCCTGCATAGTAGCAGTAGTAATAACAACATTCTGTTCATTATTATTATTATTTTTCTTCAAAAAGAGTCTCACTCCTTAACTCTGTCAGCAACATTTATATCTGGAGAGACACAGTTCCCTGGGTTTATAGTAGTTATGAAGATCAACGACATCCCTGTGGAATACTATGATGGCAACATCGAGAAGATAGTCTCTCGGAGATACTGGAGATCGGATAACACCATAGAGCAATATGATCTCAAGAAGTACATAGTTCATGACTTTTATAGTTACATGACATCTTTTTCTGATGTCATGAAGCGGCGCTCAAATCACACTCAAGGTCAGTTCACTGTTTGATGAATAAATACTTGATGAATCTTGATTATACATCTGAAAGTAGATATATTACTATTATCTGGACAAATATTGTCTTTTGTTACTGCAGGAGTCCACGTGTCTCAGGAATTTGTGGCATGCGATCTAGAAGATGACAGGCTGAGTCGATTAATTTTACTGTATGCTTATGATGGAGAGGAACAAGCCAAATATGACATCCTTCACAAAGAACGTAAATCCATTGTGCCAGAATTCCTTTGGAACCAGAGTGTATTGGATGCCATGCAAAGCTTGTTCTCAAAGCTATACCAGCCACTGTGTGTCTCG